AGAGCCAGTTATACCTATTGAGGGCATTTGGTGACAAATTTTCTCTCTAATAGTAATAATTTTATTATAAGGGAAGTGGGAAGTGCAGCCAGATCCAATCACTAGGATTCATAGGACTAACATCTTCTAACTACTAACTAGTTTGGTTTTAGTTGACTTTAGTTGATTCAGTTAATGTATATGATATGATATCTTCAAATTTGGATTGAAATCATGTATTAAAATGCATGTTTATTTGCATGTTTCTGTGTGTTTGTGGGTGTGTGTAGAGTCTATGAAGGGCCCGTTCAATGATGCGGAGCTGTTGCCCATGCTGAAGAAGATGTTGGAGGATCCTGTAGGGGCGGTCGAAGTCAAGTTCAGTGCTTTAGGTCTCATCTGCAGCCTGGCTAACTCCAGTATGTGTTTGACTTTACAACACGCATTTACGGAAATTCTGTTCTACCACAAATTTCAAGATGTTGCTGTTGAGTGCAAACTGTAATGAGAGGGTCCGTGGAATCTGATCCCAGGCCAAAACGTCTGTGGAATCTGCAGTGAAACTATTTCTTTTCGTTTGAGACATTTGAGCAGCTTCACATACATAGGTGGCATGAAGTATGTGTCTCAACTCCATTCCCAATTTATGCAGTTCCAACACTGTTTATACCCTAGTATGCAGAAATATTGAAATACACAAGTCGAAAATAACACATTTATATCACAAGCAAGCAACTGCATGGTTTCCCAAAAACTGCATGGGATTAGCATAAAGTGGCATGTCTGCAATGGGAAGACTTGTGGTATAGATATATAATAGAACCCATTTTCATTCACATATCCTCATTCTTTTACCTCCACTGCTAGCTGCAATCCATCTCACACCTCTTTCTTCTTCTTTCCATCCTAGGCGTGATGAAGGAGGAGTTGAACTCTGTCAATATGAAGGAGAGCCTCTGTAAACTGACAGATCACAGCAGCAGTAAACTTGCCTCCCAGGCCAGCTCCATACTGGCCATCCTCGGTGACGCCAGCTAAAGCCGCATGGAGCGACAAAGGATCTCATCTGCTGTATGGATTTATCCAGCTTATTCAATGGCATACTTTAATTCAAACGATCTCACTGCACAGACACTGCTACATATTTAACTGGCTTCTAAAAAATGACACCTGTTTTGTGGCAACAATTACTAATTAAAGACAAGCAAGACTAAGACTCTGTGTCCCCAGTAGCAGCCCCCAGCGGCTGCAGTGTTCACAGAAGGAATAAAGAACATAAGTGATAGATTTTCATTTTTTTAAAGCCTTACCAAAAGTCAGGCTGAAAGTGTAACATTTGGTGTCAATATTGGCTGACAAGGGAAGGCTACGAGGTGATTAAAACCAAAGGGGTTACTTCAGTCAGGAGCTGAGTCATGTGCTCAACATTTTCTATGGTAATCTACTAGATATGTGATCATCCCAAGATCCTATGTGACAAGTTGATATTTTGGACTGAGGGTGGAGCTAGAGGAAAGTTCATAGAGTGTACACAATTGTTTCTGGGAATGTACTATTTTATGGTAAATTGTCTATTAGATTTGGACATTTCTTGTATCCAAAGTGGTTGGTAATGGCAGTAGAGTAGTCCTGGAGGGTCTGCAAAAACAGAGGGGCTCCTCTTCTGGAGAGCATAATATCCACAGAATAAAAAATAATTAAAAAAGGTGCTGTAAGTGAAAGCTGCATGTTGGCTAACTTCCTGTCCGTTCTGGCAGTTAGCAGTCCCCTCCCTCCTCCCCACATCAAGACACTGAAATTCTGACACATGCCCTTGAGGACCGCCTCTTTGTCGAGTTCTCTCTCCTGATTGGATAAAGTGGAAACAGGATACCAGAAAATATATTCTTTGTTTACTGCAGAAAGGAGGGACTGGAAGAGCCATGATACTGACTAAACACTCTGTATCAGTGATGGATGTAGGAATGTAGACCTATTTACTTATTTTAACAAAAACATCACTCACAGCACCTTTAAGTTTTCAAAATGCCGGATTATGGAACCTAAAGTTGATCAAAATTATGACAATTTAAATATTCTTTTAGTGACATTTGATAATGGCACTAAAAGGGAAAGTCAGACCAAATACATTCACATCATTCTGTGGAGATTATAAATATCTGTACCAAATTTCACTGTCATCTGACCAATAGTAGTTATGGTGCGTTCGTTTTGTCCACCGAACTCGATCTCCGAGTCGGTTTCCTGAGTTACGGACCGGAAGTTGCAAATAGAACGCTCCCGAGGTCGGAAAAAACGACTCGTGAAGTCGGACTACTCAGAGGACCCCGAGTTCAGTTACCA